ATTCAGGCAAATGGAGTGAAGTAGACTTCTGTAGACAATGAAGCACATTGGACAAGAAAGAACAAGAGGTATTATTATTATTATTATTATTATTATTATTATTATTATTATTATTATTATTATTATTATTTATACCCCACCCATCTGGTTGGGTTTCCCCAGCCACTATGAGTTGATTGATTGAAATAATGAGGTTGAGTTGATTGAAATAATGGGGATTTTACTATGTTTAGCAATACTGTAGCAGTAAAAACCAACTGCTTCAAAACTGCAACTGAAGTGATTAAAGTGTAGTGTTAGATATGACTGAATACTTGCAATAGACATTGCGTTCTTTGTTTTTATAATTTATAAGCAGTTTCTAAGAGGTGTGCATTAGGGATACAGCATGAAATCAGTTAAAATTCCCTCTGTCTCACAAGTCTCTCAAGTAAATGAAATGTGTATGTATATAAAGAAGTTCTTCAAACTGCCAATGTGAAATATAGTAATGAGTAAAAAGACTGACCCAGCAATTAGTCTATTTCCCATTTTCCTGGTCTTATTCAAGTGTCACTGAAGTCTACAGACTTATTCAGATCAGGTGGGTGCAGGTCTAATTGTTATGGCGGTTGGGTATTGTGATTTACCCTCTCGTGCGGAATATTAGACTACCAATAATTCTGCACAACAGTGAAAAATAGGTATGAACTTGCATTGTCATTTCATTGCTTAAAACTATTCTGGACAGCTACACGTACAGCTGAGCCAATGCAACTTACTGTTTCCCATTAACATTTTTGGCAGTAAAAAAATTCCTCTTTTGCTGATGATTTTTCAGCACTCCTTGCAAGTGGGGAGGGATGGTTGCTTATTCTTGTAAATTGCCCTCAGTTGTCTCAGTGGCATCACCATGCAGCAAAATCTGATTGGGTACCTAGCATTGTGACATTATCACATTCACTATTCAGGATCCCTGACTGAGTGGAATCACCAATGTAATCCTGGAGGAGAAAGAAGCAACAGCCAAGAGAAATAAAACTGCTGACCACGACTGAACAATAGGGAATAGTCACACTGCCTAAGTATTTTACAGATGAAATTTCCACTTGTTCTTGCCTCAAATCAAAAGCAGAGAATATATGATGCAGCCCTAGTTCTACACCAGTTATTTTAGTTAATTTCAGTTACAAACCATATGCACATACCTAATTTTCAGTCATCCTTTGCATCCTGTTTTGCATATTGTTTATTCACATTACAGTACTGCTTCCGAGCAGCTAGCTTCATGCACAGAGAAACATCACACAGCTCTAACAGAAGTTCATTTCCCTGTCTGCATTTCATGACCTTTGACGCAAACTGCCTTAGTCCTCACACTTTAAGCCAATGCAATAAAAGAATGCCAGAAACCAGTGCAAACAGCCACACCTTTAGGAAACAGTTCAGGGTTGTATGAATAAACAAAAGCATATATTAGTCACTCATTCAAAATTGGTATTGCCCATAGGAACCAAAACTTTAGACCTGAATAGTTAGCATGCAACTTGCCAAAGATTATCACTTCCTTAAACTTATTCTGACAGTCAATCTTTATTTGCATATCAACTCCTATACATAAGTGATCGGTGTTACAAATGACTGAGTAGAATTAGTAAAATAAATGGCGTATAATTTTCTTCTAATCAGCTCCTGCTCCTTCCTTCACATTCTTATTCTGGCCTTAGGAACTGCATAGACTCTGATTTCTGGCTCTATGCACGGTGCCAACTACCAAAGTGCAGGCCTGTTTTTATTAGCTTCTCAAACACTTCACCAGCTTTACGTTTAAATCTTCAAAATGTTTTCTAAACACTCTGAATCATAATGAGAATTCCATTTACTGAAAAGGTGCAGCCTTGCATATAACAACTGAACATGTTTAATGACTGATCCTTTTATACATTACAGCATCACTCATGTTTTCAGTAAATGGATATAATTTTCTCTGCTTTACCCTATTATTATCATTCGTTAGCATCACCAAGCTACAATTCCAACTGCAGGTATTTCTCCCCCAGCAATTATCTTCTTCACAGAAGCAACTCAGGCAGGTTTAGAAACCATCTAGTTTTGCATATTAGGCTAAAAAGCAGCAACCACATTTCAGAAAAGAAAACTGAAGCATGTATGTGTGTGAGTGGCAGAGGTCTTTTTTAAAAAAGCAGCTGAAGAAGGAGAGGATAGTGGGTGAAGAAAGAGCTGCAAGTGGAGGGGCCCCCTTTTCACATCCTCTGGACCCCTGGGAAATTCAACAAACCTGCTGTACCTGGAATTGAGGGTGCAGAGTGCAGCTGAATGGGACATGGCTGTGGGCAACCTGAGGAAGTGCCATACACTTTGGGCCTGCCCATAGAAGGCATGTCTAGTGTGAGAGACTAGGGTGATGTCCAATGTTTGCAGGAACTTTTCTTGTTGTGAGATTTTTGTGTGTGAGCTGAGAGTTTGTTTGGACCCTGGGTGAGAACCAGGAGGCTGAGGAGGAGAGTGTGTCAGAAGGAAACGAATTGATACTGATTAATGTGTATTAGTAACTTTGTATCAGAGGGACGCGGGTGGCGCTGTGGGTAAAAGCCTCAGCGCCTAGGGCTTGCCGATCGAAAGGTCGGCGGTTCGAATCCCCGCGGCGGGGTGCGCTCCCGTTGTTCGGTTCCAGCGCCTGCCAACCTAGCAGTTCGAAAGCAAGTAGATAAATAGGGACCGCTTACTAGCCGGAAGGTAAACGGCGTTCCGTGTGCGGCTCTGGCTCGCCAGATGCAGCTTGTCACGCTGGCCACGTGACCCGGAAGTGTCTCCGGACAGCGCTGGCCCCCGGCCTCTTGAGTGAGATGGGCGCACAACCCTAGAGTCTGTCAAGACTAGCCTGTACGGGCAGGGGTACCTTTACCTTTAACTTTGTATCAATGTAACATTTTAATATAATAAAAAAATTCCTTCCAGTAGCACCTTAGAGACTGACTAAGTTTGTTATTGGTATGAGCTTTTGTGTGCATGCACAGTTCTTCAGATACACTGAAACAGAAGTCACCAGAAAAACCAGCTGCACCAATATAAGATGGACACCTGGCTTACTAGCAGTACATGTGAAAAGGATCCAGGTGTCTTAGTGGACCACAAGCTTAACATGAGTCAACAGTGTGATGCAGCAGCAAAAAAGCTAATGCTATTCTGAGCTGCCTCAACAGAAGTATAGTGTCTAGATCAAGAGAAGTAATAGTACTGCTTTAGTCTGCTACTGGAAGGAATTTTTTAATTTTGTTTCGACTATGGCAGACCAACATGGCTACCTGTAACTAGAACATTTTCATATGTAACTCTGTATTTTTGTAATGTTTTGTTTCATTTGCCTGCTGTTGCTTTAAGTTTGTTTCTACGTGGCTTAGACATATTTTTAACATATTAAGCAGTATAGAAATTAAATAATCAAAAATCAAAAGCTAGTTTCCATAGAAAATGAAATCAAGTCTGCTATATGCACAAATCAAGGGACCAATCCCAGTCCTGATAAAATCAGCACATTAGTAAGGAGCAAGAATCAACCCAGCTAGGCAATTTTCCTGAATTATATTTGTGACTAGGAGCCAATTCATAGCAAAGGCTATGTGAGCAGCCCCAGCCTTCCTCAGGTATGTGCTCATATAGAGATAAGACCAATTCATGTATTCAACAAGCTTAGAATCCTCTCCGCAGAGCGGGGAGCAAGGGTGTAGCATTATCATCCTGCATATAAAGGAATATGTGATCCAACTGTCTGATTTTATTAGATCTTTACTTCTCAGAAAAGGAGAGGTTGTATAAGTCAAATTGATATACACATTGGTCTATGCATGGAGCACTCAAATAACATGTTACCATATATACACATTGGATGTGATGTCCGTCAGCTTCTCCACCACATGGAGAGAATCCTCTGTAAGGTGAGTATGTGAAAAGCACTACAATGCTTAGTTCTTGCAATCACAGATATTGCTGGCAGCGCCTCCAATGATAGCAATAACATTTTTCCATCTGCCAGAGTTATGGGAGTTTCTTCTGGCTGTATCAATATCCATGCAAATGCATAAAAAGAAATAGTTGAACCTAGTCACACAGATATGTGCGTGTGTGTGTTTAAACCATGCTATAGATGGTGCATTTTTAGCAGTCTCATAATTAGTTAGAAAGATGTCTCATTGACATCAACATATCTTACTTCCATGTCAACATATGTGGGTGCCTATTTATCATTCTTTGTATTCCTAACCTCACTATCATGAACTGCGTTGCTAAACCTAAAGTAACAAACCAAATGCATACTTATTTCTTGCAGAGACCCATTAAGTGGAACCATTAAGGAAGGGGGGGGGGGAGGAAGGAAAAATCCTCTCTGCAGAAAACCACCACTGCCAATATATATAACAATAGCAAACTACAACAAGCTGACTCTACTCTGCAGTCACCAAACTTTATAATTAGCAATGTTTTCATTTCAGTAATTAAAATTTCATTATACACTGGCTTCACCCATTCACCGAGGATCTGTTTGTTGCAGTCCCCTTTTCTACTGAAATGAATGAGAAAACTCCTCACATGGGATTTCTAACACTACTTCTGAGATATACAGAGCTCTACATCGACACTACTGGCTAAATACCGAGCAGATACAAATCATGGTACCATAGCTCTGAAGGCAGATCTAAACCATCTGATAACAATACACAATTCAGCCTGTAATGTTTGTTGCACAAATGCATCATAAAAACAAGGTAGTGATCTACATCCTGCAATCATTTACCACAATACCACCAATATGGACTTTGGTTGGCCTCAATTGCGGTAATCCTGAAACTGCTTACTCCAATATAATTATATTGAAAGCAAAAGGGATTATTGCAAAAGAAAGCAGTCTGAAAACTGCAACAAAAGATTCTGTGCATAGAGCTTTCTGCCAAGACACAACTTAATTTTAGTGTAATAAAATAATAGTGATAATGATATCATACCTCTTCCACTTCTGCCCACAAATCTTAGGTCATTAAATCTTGCGACTTGATTCTTCATGGCAGCAGTAGCGTTTCTGAGTTCTGCAGAGTAGTTTTCATCATTTCCAGCCATCACTGTGACCAGAGTCCCATCAGGGACATCTCCTAAGGCCACCACCTAAAAGAATAAAATGGAAGTACCATTAGTTTCTTATTGATAATTTGAAGGTGCAAACTATAAGCAAAAGTCAAATAGGATTATTATTATTTTTAATAGGGTGGTGAGGGATGGGAGACTGCATACAGGTGAACACAGACTTGCAAGTTTAACAATCTTAAGCGCTTAGAAGTATGAAACTTACACTCAGGTACATAAGGTTAGGATTGAAACCTAAGTTAGTTGCACTAAAGTCCAACTGAAAATCAATCAGAATTAAGTTAGCCATGACTAGCTTTCCCCATAGATTTCAGTGGGACCTAATAGTGGCTAGCTTAGTTCATATCCAAGCAGCTGAATATATATAACATTTCTTTGGTAAATAGGGTGCTAAAACACAGCACCCTATTTAACCGGGCACAATAAAGAAATCAAAACCTGAATCTCAAACACATTTTTTTGGAAGTAAATGCCATTGGTTTCAATAAAACTGAAAAAAGGGTGGTTGCATTAGTGCAGTGTGGCATTTTGGAGTGCTGTGCTGAAGCAGTGACTAAATGTAAGCTAGCAACAACCTCTAAATTCAGGCTGGTGGTTGTAGATGAAGCTTGTACTACAGATCTATTTGCGTACTCCATGACAATCTAGTGTGAACCAGCAGCACTTCCTTCCACACAACATGCTTAGAATCAGGAGGCCAGAAGCCCTCTACCTGACCCAGAGCCAAAGTCTCCTTTTGCACTCCCCACTTGAGTTTTGGCCCCTGTCTTCCAAGTAAGCGGCAACTTCTTTAAAAAAACCATTCTTTTCACTTCTGCTGAAACTGCCCGGTGTTGAAATTTCTGCTTAGAGTGGGCATTCTACTTCCCTCTACCCACCCTTCCTCAGCAGCCCTAGTCCTTTCAATGAAATGCAACAGTCAATTCACTTTTTTTTACATTCACCTGCTCCTGTTTTACTTTTCTAATCATCTGAGGCTAAGCAGGAACCAGGCAAAAAGTTTGAGTGAGAAATAAGGCAGGCAGCAAACTGGGGCATGGTGACCTTTTATGATTTTAGTGCAAATAGTGCAACTCCTGAACTCAAAAATAGCATCCTTTTTCCTGCTTCTCTCTCTATAAGGCCCTGTTTCTTCCTCATCTCTTTGGTCTCATAGGGTACTCTCTCTCTCTCTCTCTCTCTCTCTCTCTCTCTCTCTCTCTCTCTCCTAAGTTAATTGTCCCAGAATAGGACAACTGCCCCTCAGACTTTGCTGGGCACCTATGTGAGAAGTTGTTAGCCTTTTCTTCTGAAGCTTCTAGAAGAGGGTGGGGAAACTTATGGCTGTCCAGGCGTTGCTGGATCCAAACTCCCATCAGCTTCAGCCATCACCACCAAAGGTCAGTGATAATGGGAACGGAGAGTCCAGCAGCATCTGGAGGGCCACAAGTCCCCCACCCTTGTTCTAGAAACTTCTAGCAGGAAGGACAAGGACAAATGACAAAGTATGAATTGGGCTCCCCAAGAAAAAATGTTTTAGCTTAAGGTTGCAGTCTTGTGAGGAATTATTACTTATTAGGGCTAATGCTACTGAAACAATTTGAACCTATTTCTGAATAAACATGGTTGTAATTGTGATATAAAGCTGTATTCCTAGGAACAGTTACTGAACACAGTGAGACATCCCTTAGAATAAGATCAATTTTCCCCCAGTGAGATTTCTTCCCATAATAAGAATAAGAATAATAATGCTAGGATTGTACCCTTATACAGTGATTATTATTTTTTCCTAGTCAAAATACTGTAAGATGTTAACAACAATTAGACATTCTAGCAATATTACTTCAGGTGCAATACCTTATTTTTTCCCCAGCGACAAACTGAATTATAGCTTTACTAAGTCAATAAACTATAGTGTGTATTGGAACACAATTTGAAAATATTATTTAATCCTATGCATGTCTTTCTAGATATGCATACTAGTGGGTGTGTTTCTTTTGGTTTTTTTTTTTAATAACTTTGGTCATTTTTAAAATAATAATAAAAAACTCCACAGAAAAAGTATATTTTCAACTCTCTGTGTTTACAACATAATGCCAGAAACTCTGGGAAGACGCTAAAGAAAAATATCTGGGCCCAGGAGAAAGGGACTGGCAAGTAAAGCTGTAAAAGAGGCACAGAACACAAACATTTACATTATAAAACAGACTAAACAGATAAGTAAGAACTTGTTGACTGGAGATAGCTAGCTGTGCGTGTGTTTCTGCTTGACTGTTCAGCTTATAAAAATATGTTCTACATGAGCTAGAAGGAATACAGACAATTCAAAGTTGCAGCACAACTAAATCTTACTGCTTTATCCCACTAATTGGGGGGGGGATATTTTAAGTAAGAATGAGATTATTATCTTATCCTCCATTGTACTTTTCTATTACAATTTATCAAACATTAGGAACAGATAGTTTATCATCTTTCTTTTTCACTTAATTTATACAGGCAAAAGCCAACATTAGCCATACCCCGTGCTGACCCATCAAATGAGTCTTCTCTATCATTTGTCAGATATCAGCCATCATCTTAAATTTGACAGAAAATCCTAGGTTTCCAAAGGGATTAGGGCAAAGCAACCTAATCTATGGATCAATTAAATCCGACTATTTAGATTAGCCCTGATGAAGTTCAATGCTCTGTCTTTTCTCTTTTTTTAAAGTGTTGTAAAGGTGCAATGCAAGAGTTAAGACTTAAGGACAAACCAGTGAACAGAGATTAAACTGCTATCCTAAATATTTTTACTCAGGAGTAAATCCCACAGAGTTCACAGTGATTTATTTCAACAGCTTTAGTTACATACTGAACCCAGCTGAGGCTTATTTCCAGACAAACATACTTAGGATCACAGTCTCCCATGTGGCAATATTCCCATACTTGCTTGGAATACTTGCTTCCAGTGTCACTGGAAACAATAGTGTTTACTTCCATGTAAGCACAGTTAAGACTGGGATGTAATTCCAGGTATTCTCATTTGGTAGATTTTGGTCTTTGTGGTGTGCAAGTATGCAGTTACCATCTGCTGTAGTCCATGGATGGTTTGTTTTAAACAGCAGAACTAGTTAAGTCCTTAACTTTACTAGGACTCTTCTACAAGAAGTGGACTGTTGATCTGCTGCGTCAGAACGCTGAAAGGCAAGCTCTTGTGGGAACATGTAAAGAAATAATAATTATTCCCAAAATTATTTAAATAACAACACTCCTCGGTTGTGGGAAATAGTTATACCTACAAGGAGGAGATTATATAAGCAAAATCTAGCAAAATCCAGTCTGTGGTGTTCTTCCCGAGAATTTATTCAGTTATGGATTGGTGGTTTTTATTTTCTTTTGAGGGACAGAATAATAATAAAAAAAAACCCACCAATAGTAGTGTATGCAGGATGGGAACCTGGAAAAGGGAACTGTTAACAGTCTGCCCATCTCAGCAGTTTTATATGCAGGAGTCTGGTTTAATCCCTCTTCACCCATCACATCCCAAGTATTTTCTGGTTTTTTAAAAAACACTGATTTTGGTTGTTCTAGGTTGCAAAGCTCTATGTGTGCGTATGTTGAAGGACTTGAATACAGTGGGATTTACTTCTGAATAGGCAAATATGCATAGAACTGCAACAGTTTGTTACAAAGGGTTACATATTTATTGATAATATAAGACAAAGTTCCCTTGCTTGCAAAGGTGTGTGTGTTCTGGGGCAGGGAAAATCCTGAACAAGAAACATTTATTTACTCTCTCTTCTTAAATCACACACATTTGCATTGCGTGATGGAATCCTTTCTGTAATATGACATTGTTGTTGTTGTTACTTTTATTGATTTATTATTATGATGATTATGTTTTCCAGAAAGAAAGAAAGAAAGAAAGAAAGAAAGAAAGAAAGAAAGAAAGAAAGAAAGAAAGAAAGAAAGAAAGAACAAGGGCTTGAAGCCCCAAAAGTTCTCAAAACTGAAGCTGGTTGGAGAATAACACGTTTGGGAACTAATAAGGAAGAAACTGAACCAGTGTGAACAGATCTTTCTAGTCCTCCTTGGCTGCTACTTAAGAGACCCGGGCAGGTAATCGGATTTAATATCGTGGCTATTTAAAAGCTCTGCTGGAATTCGAAGGGAGAGAAAAGCACGTACTGGCTGCTGTCAGCCTGCAGGGAAGTGAGAAAAGTGAAGCTTAGCCAGAAAAAAGGAGGGCGGGAGGCTGCGGAAGCCAGCCTGAAGCAGAACTTTGCTTTTTTTGAGTTCCCCTTGAACAGGAACAGCTTGCGGGACATTAGGATGGGGGAATATACAAGGCAGACTACTTTCCTCATTATTTGGCTACCACGGCCACGTAAATTTAGTAGTGTAGCTAAATTAGGAAAAGAATTAATCGAAATAAGCAAGATCTCTTGGAAATACACTCAATGAAAACCAATGGCACAAAAAATGAGGGACTCGGGGGCAAGGGCCATTTATTAAGGTCGGGGGTGCAACAATTATTCCAGACCAAACTTAAACGAGAATGGGTTATGGAGGGCTGTGGGCAGCGATTCGAGGCCAAGCAAATTCAGACGGGTCTAGCAAATTTGGGGAGGGAGGCATAAAATTGACAATCGTGGCATTCGCTCCGGATTCACCTTTCACCCTACCCCCTCTGCGCCTTCATCAGTGAAGGCGATCCGCCGGCAAGAACCAATGGATCGGGTCCTGATCATAAAGATGAAAGGTTTTTTGGGGGTCGATTCAGAAGTGCCCAGCACACTTTCGAAGGTCTGTCCTCCCAGGAAGCGTTGCTGAGAGAGGCGGCCGCCAACCCGATCCAAGTATTGCGCGCATTTGGTTCGATTAGATTTACTTGCAAGTAAATGTGAAGCCTTGGGGTGAAATAAAGTGTGAGGGAAGGAGGGAGACGCCTGCCTTCCAATGAGCGCGTTTGGGTGGCGTCTGCCAAGTGGGAAAACCACCTGCAGGCCTCTCGTACCCAAGGAAGCCTTTCCAGAGAGGAAACTACTCGCCCCAGGCTTTCTGCTTGCCCTGGGCTAGGAGGGGCGCCTTCACTGGGCTCCCAGAGGCTGAAAACAGGCTAGACAGTGGCCGGGCGGGCGAGAAGAGAGGTGCTTCCAGGGAGCGCCTGGGATGTTTGGGCTAAGGGGGCAGGCAGACTGAACAAGTGTGAACGGGCCGAGGAGCAGGGCTTGGGTTTGGGCAATCCTCTACTCTATATAAGGGAACCACTGATGTCATGGAGGGCGGGGGGAGACCCCGGGGTCTTCCTCGACTCCGAGTTGGCGAGGGTAAATCTTAACACCCCTTTAAAACTTGCTAAGCCGGTTCTAAAGGGGGAACGGAGATTTGTTAGGTTGAGCGGGCTACTGAAATCGATCCTACACGTGTCCCCTGGGAAGGAAGTCCTCCTGAATGCAGGACCGGGGGTCTTACTCCCTGGGAAGCAGCGAGAGGAGCTGGGCACAAAGTTTTGCCCACGGGAGGGTTCCGTCTCCTGTTTTGAAGCACAAGGCCCGAAAGCAGCAACCATCTCCCCGCCTCCCAAAAGAGCAAACCTTCAAAACACAAACGCTGAACTACTGCAGAGGTCAAAGAACTTATTCTGGAGCAATGGGGGTGGGGGCCGTCATGAGACCTTTCTGGTTTTTTGCAAAGTGAGTGTTCTGTTACTTTATTTATTTATTTGTTCATGGATGAATGCCAGGCGATTGCATCCACACACACGCAAACTCAGCCGTCCTGCTTCGTTTTAAAACTCTGCTGGGGGGCTGCTGACCAAGAGGCTGACTTGTTCCGTGCGAACAAATGCCAGTTTTACATCCAAAGTGAAATATCTGGGGGGGGGGTGTTTATATGCAGGGATACTTTCAGCTTTGGCGTTTCTTAAAGTTAGGCCTGAAGTACTAGGATTTTTTTTTTTTTTTAAGCACGCGGACGCTTTTGTCACTATCACACGTGCATTATAACCCAATAGAGGGGGTCGATTTAAAACGTCTGGAAATCTGCGTGTATCTGTTTTCCATTTGCTACCATATGCACGTGGACTAAGCTGCCGGCTGCAGCGGGTGCTCTCAACATATGGGATCCAAACACAAAAGAAATCCACGCCAACCTTGAGTTATGTGTTAATCCCTTTGGGGACACCCGGAGGGGGTGGGAGCGGTTTGAGCGCCTTCAGTTACAAAGCGGCGCTCGCAGGTGCTTCGCACTGAGCCCGCCTTCGAGTCCTAAGTTATTTTATAGGGGCGATCTCCCTGACCCCGGCGCAGATCAGGTGCACAGCTTCAGCGGCTGAAGGGTCTGCTTCTTTCAGACCTTCCACAAAACCCACCAGAGCCTTTCCCTCCTTTTACAGCACTCTTCGTGCAGACCGATCCTATTAATGTTTCCTGGCAAGTCAGTCCCGCAGAATTCAGCGAGGCCGCCGCAGCCTTGTCGTAGCGATTTGTGAATGAACTTCAGGGGCCGAAAGGAGAAAACTCTCCTCCCTTTCGTACTCCAGCCTGAGCTATGCAGAGATGGTGAGAGCTCAGCTATGAAAGGAGAGGGCCTTGCTGCGTTCAGCGCTTTGCTGCGCTCAGCGAAAGACAGTAAATGTGAATGAGGAGGCTTCAATAGCACTCTAGAGGCCCGGTCCTCATCTCGCGTGCGCCTTTATGCTTGCGAGACTACACTTGCGAGGCTTGCTTCACTCGGCTTTAAGTCAAACTGCCTTTACGCAGAAGTAATCCTAAGGGTACCTAACAGTGTTTACTTCTAAACGAAGCAAGCGGGATTTCAAAAATAACCACTTGTTGAGGTCAGATCTGCGCGTAGATACCGCTGGCTGTGATGGAAGCATGTCTAAGATTGTAATAGATATCAAGTAGTGTGTGTTAGTGTGTGAATTCCTTACTTGGCACCGTGGACAATTCTGCTCCCGTAAATACCTTCTTAGGTTTATTCCTGCTCCATCCACCAGCCGGCTACGCTCGGAGGGACGCCGTATGAAAGAGTGTGGGTGAGAGAAAGCGTGTGTAGATTTAAAAACAAAAATGGTTTGGCTCGCTGTGTTTCTGCTAAAGGGCTTTGGGAATTGGGGTATTAATTCAGTAACTGCTTTGACTCCCTAGAGGGAGGGAGGAGGAATCCTGAGCGACTGGAAGCAGGTCTAAGCTCAATCTTCCCGTGAAATATTTCCTCCTCCATGATATTTACTTACACGTGTTACTCCTTGTCCTCCTGGCGTGAAGTCCTTTGATCTTTTCTACTTTGCCTGCTTGTGCCTGGCATCCCCGAAGGCGTTTATTCGGGAGAAAGCCCCACGGAATTCAATTGAGCATTTCCTTCCAAATACTCTTAGTGTTTTAGGAAGGTCGAGTTTAAGGCTCGGAGGTCAGTCAGTGCTTTCGGGAGGAAGGCGTTAAGTTCTGGGTGACTGTAGGAAGTAAGTAGCCTTCTCTCTCAGGGGGAAATCTCTATTAGGGGAAGGGTGGGTTTTTTTTTTATCTACCCCTGGCCAGTTGAGGCCTGCTGGTTTCTGCGGCTCTTGCACATAATACTAGGTGGCCTTTGGTCTTAAGCGAGGCTTGCACACTCAGGATAACTTATTACTACAGGCTGATTATGCCTTCTCTGTGAAGTGATTATGAGAATTCACTCCTGTTTACTAAACTTTAAGAGACATGGAGCAGTTTACGGAGATTCCACTTTTGTTTTGGGTTTGTTTGAAAATAAAACAAGCCAGCCTACCCGTGTATTACGGATGGGAAAGATATCTCCATGAGCCCCAAAGTGTTCAGGGTGGCACTTTCAGGGCAATCCTAACCATGCCTATGCAGAAGTAAGTCCTATTGAATTTAGTGAGGTGTATTCCCAGGCAAATGTCGGTAGCTGCTACTCGATAGAAGAAAATAAGCTCAACTGAGCAGAGCGTGGCTTGCTTTTGGTGGAAAATGCACAGGACAACGTGCTAAGGCTAAGTCTCCCTTAACTCGGTAGGCTTTATTCCTCACTTAAAGCTGCTTAGGGTCGCGCTACACGGCAGCGCCGGGGCGCACACTTCCTCCGAAGTAAACTTCAATTATTGTAAAGGGGTCTTGCTTCCATGTCAACCTGCACGAGGGGCCGTCGGCATGGCTGCAATCCGACGCCCACTTACTCCGAAAGAAGAAGCCCTCTTCCAATTTAGTCAGATTTCCTAACGAGGATCGGACCCGGTTAGACATTTGGGGAGCCTTTTCCGCGCGCCACGAAACCGCGTCTAAGGATGCAGTCCACATGGCCGGGGGCCCAACTTTGGGGTTTCCGTTTCGAGGCTGCCACCCTTTCCTCAATGCACACATCGCTGGAAAAGTCCAGCCTCGCTGCTTTCTGTGGATCTTACTTCCGAGTAAACCCGCACAGGCTCGGGCTGCCTGGCTGCAAGCCGAAACTTTTCCCCCCTGCAAGCCCCCTCTAAAAGCAGTGGGCCTTTACTGCCAAGTAAATAGTAATGGGTTGCATTAGACACAAGACTGACAGCTGAGTCGACCCCCCCGCCGCCCCCCTCTTCTCCCCTTGCCCCTCGTACCTTGAAGGCGATGGGCAGCGTCTTGTTGCACCTCCAGTGGGTCGGCAGGACGGAGCAGAGGAAGTTGGGGCTGTCGGTGCGCACCAGCTCGCCGGCGTGATCGGCCAGGACCTCCACCATGCTGCGGTCCGCCGTCCTCATCTTGCCCGCCAGGGCGCCGCCGCCGCCGCCGCCGCCGTTCTCGTGGCCAACCAGCGGCAGCGCGTCGCTCATCTTGCCCGGGCTCAGCGCGGTCGAGGGCGGCGTGAAGCGGCGGCTCGTGCTGGTATCTACGGGGATACGCATCACAACAAGCCGGTTGAGTGAGAAAGCTCGGCACGGGGCTTCGCGCAAAGCGGGGCGGGCGCAGCAACTCTTCGGCCGGAGGCTCTCGGGAGACCCACATAAAAGGGGTGCCCGCAGAGGAGCCAGTCCCGGAGTCAATGCGGATCAACAGTTGGCTACGGCAGGGGGACGCTCGTTCTCCTGGTCCTGCCACACTTAATCCAAGCATCCAGTTGGCAAGCTCTCCTGGAAATATATTGCGCGTCCCTCTCTTTTAGAAGCAACAACAAAAAGAAGCAAGAGTCCCTAATAGGTTTGGACAAGCTTTTTTTCTTTTGGCCTTCTCCCCTCAGGAATGACCAGTGCTATGAAAAATCAAAGGCCCTTCCAAAATCCCACACATGGGGAGGAGAAGGACTGAGCAAAGGCATCCGTTGCAAGCACCGGAGACAGGAGGAGGGAAGGGGCTAGCCAGTCCTTCCAGTAGCGAGTTTCCTGTCCTGTTGGGAGAGCAGGCTGCTCTCTCCCGTCCACCCACACCCCTTAGAAAACAAAAAAAGCCGCTCTAGAATCCGGATTTAAGCCCGCCAGTCTCTGCTCGTGGAGAGAGGAAATCGGTTTCAGAACAATTTGAGGGCAGGGAGGGAAGAGGGGGGGGCAGGCTTTCACGGACGTGGCCTGAGGTTTCTCAAAGGTCAAGCGGCTATCACAGCATTATATACTGTACTTCATCAAATATTTACAGTCGGCTCTAGAGAGAGTTTAAACACAACAGAAATCCATTAATGTTCTTCTGCAGGAGCTCCGCTTCCCTGCCCCTCTCTTCCCAAAGCGGCCTTGAGAAACCCGGCCTCGGGGGGGGGCTGCCGCGCCGCTCTCCGAAAGGGCCAGGAGAGTCCCGCGGCCGCGGCGCCCTTTCGCAACGCTTTGGCCGGGTCGGCGACGAGGGCGAGGAATGGAGGAAGAAGAAGAAGATGATCCCGGCAGGTCGGGCGGCCAATAATGTGAAGGAAAGGAGGAGGGAGGGAGTCCATATGAGGAGAGAGAGAGAGGGAAGGGGGGGGGAAACACCCCTCTGGTTTGGTCGGGGCTGCTGGTTGGCTTGTGGGTTCCCTCTGCGGTTACTGCGTGCAGCAACTTTCGAGCGCGCACTTCTGAAGTCACCCAACAGTCTGTGGCCGCCGGGTGAGTCACGCTGCCAACTTGGGGGGGAAAGATCTGAGGCAATCTTCCTCAGATTCAGCCGCCGGGGCCCGGCTGCTCAGCTATGGTTTAACCACAGCAGGTGGAGCTCCGCTTTCGGGACCATCGTTTGCTTCCTCTCCTCCGCACCCCTCGCCCCCTCACGGCCTTCCTCTTTCCCTCCCCTCCTTTCTCGCGCCTCCAACTTCGTTACAACGCGCGAGGGGGGCCCGGCCGAGTTTCCGCTTCGGCCCCACCAGAAGGCTAGCAGCACACGCGATTGGCAGTAAGAACAAACACAGGCACGCACGCACACACGCAGGCAGGCTGGCTGGCGGACGGGCGCGCAAGCGGCCTCAGAGTCAAGAGTTAAAAGAAGAAGTAGTAGGAGTCGCTCAGACGAGAGAGCCTGCGCTCCTCCCAGGGTCCACGTTCCCCAAGCGGAAGGAGTCTTCACGTGTTCACCAGACGCCAACGGCGAGCTTTCCCGAGGGCTCCTGCCTAGGGAGGCCAGTCTCTCCAGCTGTGCGTGACCTTCTGTGAGGCGCTGTTTGTTTGCTCATGCTGGTCTCAAAAAGCCTGGTCTGTCTCTCTCTTTCTCTCTCTCTCTCTGCCCCCCCCTCTCCGCGCGCCCTCCTCCTCCTCCTCCCTCTCGCCTTCTGGCTCTATGAATGGAGATTGACTGGAAATGAATTTGCTTTTACAGTAAGAGAGTCCGGAGGAATGCCATTCCCTCAGCTCTTTTGCATAGGGGAGGGCGCCGGCCAATCAGAGCCCTTTCCGGTATTCAGCAGGGCGCGGCTCCAACCCGCGGGCTCCTGGAATTGGCCTGCGCACCGCCGCTGGAAGCTACTGTAAAAAGCCAAAGGGAGGCCCGCGTGTCAATGGGACGCGGCGATTACCGCAGCGCGCGCGAGAAAGAACAAGCGAGCAAGCGGCAGACCTCTGGGCGGCGGCTGCGGCGTCTTGCGCGAAACCTCAGAAAGGCGGACTGAGGGAGATGCGGGGACAAGAGTCGCGCGGCCCGCTCACGCGCCAAACGTTTCCCTCGTGCGTGGGTGGGTCCCTGCGGGACAATGAAAAGGGCGCGAAAGTAGCCCCCGAGACTCTCAGTCGCCTGACTGGCTTCGAGAAGGAAGCTGACCCCGCACGGACCCCGAGCACCCCCCCACCCCCCACCCCAGCCGGGCTTTTTCAACAGTCACCAACCCTCACGAAGCCTAGGTCCCACGCAGTGACTGGGCTAGTAACCCCCCTCAGCACGCGCGGCTGAGGGAAAGGGGATGGGGCGGTTTTCGCTTCTTGTGGAAATAAAGCGAGATATATCGCCTTCAGTAAGAGCTGCCGCCTCCCCTTCCAAGTAGTATTATTTTGCCCCGATTCAGCATGTGAGCACCCACAAAATGCAAAGTTCTGGGCAAAGGGTCGCCTGATGAATATTTGCCTATCGCACAGTTGTTTACCAGGATGGGGAAACCTGCCCCCGTTCGGGTGGTTTAACTCCAGTTCCCATCTGCTGCAGCCAGCAGGGCCAAATATTTGGGACAAGGGGATTTCTATTTTACACTTTTCCAGACACTCCTGGATTAAGTGCAGAGAGGGATTTTTTTTTAAAGGTCTCACTTCCTTTCTCCTCTGATCTGTTCCTCACATCTCTAGAGATTATGCCCAAATTTCAATATGCAGTACACCACACTGCAGCCCATGTTCTTTCTGAGACTATAAAAAAATGCTTTGAAAAAGTTGGCCAGGGCAATCATAGTCACTGAGGCGTTTTATAGATCAGTCACACAGATAGTGGTGTTTTGTCAGACTTTGGCACTGCAGTGGAGGGCCAACACTGCAGGGGAGAAGTTTTGGATCCATGGCAGTAGAGGGTGGGGAGAATGGAGTCCCAGCTCTTCTCATAGAGAGCCAGTGTGGTGTAGTGGTTAAGAGTGGTGGACTCGTAATCTGGGGAACTGGGTTCGCGTCTCCACTCCTCCACATGCAGCTGCTGGGTGACCTTGGGCTAGTCACACTTCTCTGAAGTCTCTCAGCCTCACTCACCTCACAGAGTGTTTGTTGTGGGGGAGGAAGGGAAAGGAGATTGTTAGCTGCTTTGAGACTCCTTAGGGTAGTGATAAAGCGGGATATCAAATCCAAACTCTTCTTCATACTCTCTCCCCCCCCCCCTTTGTTTACAGGACAGGTCTCTACAGGCCTTCACTAAGTTGCTCCCAAGTGAGTTGGGTCAAGGATTGCAGCCTTAGCTATCTCACTTTCTAGAATGTGTTGGAGTGCAGCTCCCTTGGATCATAAAATGTGCTACAGAGTTGAACCCTAGCACAGCACTTGGACTGGCTACCAGCTGTCAGCATGAGAAGCAATAGAGCCCAGCTAATAGGAAGCTGAACTCGAATCTGGGAGCCCAGGGGAGCCAAGGCTGACCGGAAAGAATTTGCCAAAGGCAATGAGCCCATTTCTGGAGTTGAACGGCATGGATCCAGGTCTCTCAATTAGTTGGATCACACGCTTTCAACTGTTGAGTGATGGCGTGAGCCTTAAGATGCCAATTTTTATAAGGAATGCCAATTATTCTTCACTGTGACAGCTCCATATTACATTATGTTCCTGATTCCAGACTCAACAATGCCTCAAATCACATTCTCTTTGATTTTTCTTTTTCTTTTTAAAAAAATCTGGCAGTCCTGCTCAACACAGGCTATAGTAATCAGAACTATACTTTTGATCAGGCCAAATGAATTCATATGCAGTATTGCGTCCAGTCTAAAAGGGATGTGCTATTTATATAATCTGAGGCAAAGGAACACATGAAAAGATAAATGACATTTCTTTAGCACCCTGGCACTGGGTTATAGAGCAGCAAGGCATTTGGAAGTTTATGCTGAATGGTGGCTGATCTCATAGTGATGTAGTAATTAGTTTGTTGGACTGGAGCCTTGGAAGACCCGGGTTCCAGTCGCCACTAGGTTACAAACCTTACTGATCTTTTAAGCCAATCCAGGGCTGCCAACTTGGATCAAATATTGTGGGGGCCCAGGTGAGCCATGCCCCCACATAATCGATCACATGTGCACACACACCATTTGAATGGGAATGCCCATCAACCTTGTGGGGGCCCAGCCCCCTCAAATATTTTATTGTGGGGGCCAAAGCCCCCAGGCCCCTGGTAGTTGGCTCCTATAAGCCAGTCACTGTCCTGCAGCAACACTGCGTTGTTGGGAGAGCCATATATGAGTTCCTTGGAGGAAATGTAATAAAATAAAAATAACAAAGTGCCATAAATATAAGCTTTTCTGCCATGGTTCTTTATGAAATTGAGTGTGATGTAGTGGATAGTGCTGGCAGTATTGTGGCATGGGGGGTCAACAGGGGCAATTGCCCTGATGCAAAATTGTTAGGGGCGCAAAATTCCAACACCCAGTTATGCCTCAGCTGCATTTTTCCATCGCTGGGCCCAACTGATAACGGCTTCTCCATGCAGAACAGGAAGTGACCTACCCAGACAATAGAACGACTCTTCTTTTGTGTTCTACACACCCTTGGCACACCCTTGAAATTACCTGCAGTTGAATTCCAGGATATGCAACAACTAGCTAGCAGTGCATTTGTATAAAACAGGGCTGGGGAACCCTTGGCCCTCCAGATGTTGTCGGACTGTTGCTCTCCTCATCTGCTGACCCAGGGCTGATGGGAGTTGGAGTCCAACAGCGTCTGGAGGGCCAATTTTCCTCACCCCAGACATAAATGGATGGAATTTCATGCATTAGTGGAATCAGCCTGTGAACAAACTCTCTTTGCCACTTACATCAATGCTCAG